CTAGATGTCTGTCTAACCCCGTTGGCCGATTGCTTCGACCAATTACGTCAAGTATTGAGCTCCAGCGTTTAAACTTTATTTTTTTAAAGGAGCTTTGATTGTAAAGTAAAATAAATCAATACATACAAAATTTTAATATGGATTACAAACGTCAACTGTTTTTGCTATTGCCTTCCTGCTACGTAAGCAGACACAAAGCATTGTGGGAAATCAGAACCGTGACCCAAAGCAACAGTCAGCAAGGATGTACAGTATACCTTYACAATAAGTGTGTTTATCTGGGAGGGTGCTGTTGGATAGATCACGTGTGTTGTGATTCATTAACAGCCATACCTTCTGCTGTTCAAGATAATGATGACTTGTAGACAATTAGTTATTAACGGTACTGTGTTATAATTTTAGAAAGCACAAACCTGCTTATTAATTATAAAAATTAGTAAGACTGCTAAAGCGCAAATGAAATACTTAGGTCTGCAATTAGCGGATTTGCGCTTTAGCGGGCTGGTGCCCACCACTGTTTAGTACCTTTCCTTTGAGCTCCATGTCGTTTATTGTTGTGTTGCAAATAAAATTCCATGAAATTTGCTCACTTTATTATAAAAGCCCCACCCACATGAAGGTGGCACTCTGCTCAAAGCAAACACAACCAGAGTCTGGGTAGAATAAGGCTTACAATGCAATGCAAAAATACCTTAACAGAATGSTTAAGATCTTGCTTTTTTTAAGGTTTGACTAAATTACTATTTGTCATTACTTAACACTGGATTACCTTAATTTAAACTCTAGCAGAAAAGGTGGCCATAGATATCCTTTCCTTCCAGGAATGCTAAGTCTGTGATGATAATTGAGGCCTTTTTACCTGAAATTCAATGTAAAAATCTTTTCCAGGGATTATACTGCAAACCAGTCTGATAACTRAAAACACTGCCTTCTATTATGCTTTTAGAAACTCTAGGAACCGTGAGTAAACCTGCAATTCAACCCACACTCCACGAAGCAAACAGTGTTGGCAGAGTTTAAATGAGATTCAAATGATTTTTCTTTTTAACTCATCTGACATTATGCACTGAAATGAAAGATGCAGCTGTGAGACACTAAAACAAGGGCAAGTAAACACTTCAAAAGATAATTACAGTGAAATAAATCGGTTATCAGAAAAGAAGTGAAAAGCGAAACMAAACCAAACACTGCAAAGGTTTATTTCACCTTCTGAAATGAACGAATTATGTAAAATAAATGCGGATACTTATACGAGCAAACGCTTTAAAATAATAACTTGACTGCAGTTATTATAGAAACCAGTTTCTTGCAAATGCAATTAAAATGCTCCGTAAGCCAATGTTTACCACAAAATACCAGGAAAAAAATAACTTTATGTAGGTGATTATTAGAGATGCACYGTGTTTCATCACTTTACCAGAGCTTCTTCTGCATTATGTCCCTGGTGTTTATAGAACAAAAAGCGTTATCGTCGAACACTTTGTCAAAATGCTTTTGATACATCTCTTTCACTGTCTAATAAATCAGAGGCAGCACTTTATTATATTGGCAGTAGAGAAGATATTGACATGGCATTTTGGTGGCATTATGAAGCCAGTTTAATATCCCCTTATTGTGTTGTAACAGCATCAAATCATACATCATCTCTGGCGTGAGTTGGAGCCCTAAATGCCCGATTGAGCTGATGCACCAACTTTATAAAGGTTAGCTCAGCGTAAAAATGATAACACCTCAAAGGCGGCGGATCCRTGAATGCGGCGTGGATCATTTTGTGGGTCTCTGGTGTATTTAAAACTTCCAGTATCTGCAAAGAACCTTTCATCTTTTTTTTTCCTTTTTACTAAATAAATGCAAGTAAACATAGAAGAAGGCAGCTTTTATGGATTTGACATTTGCTTTGGCATGGGTGATCTGTGTGTGTCTGTTAGTAAAATATATTGAAAGCCCCTAGACGAATGTTAATGAAACTTGCAGAAATTTGTCAATAAATGTACTTCTACAACTGATTAACTTTTGGAGTCAATCTGATTCAAGATGGCTGCCACAACCTGCTGACTTTAATTCTACAGAAGAAGACTAGAACTCAGTCAATTCGACAGATAATGACCTAAAATTTGGTGTGGCAGTAGCTGACACTGATCACCAACATTTAATATGAGCATTAGCTAATTGTGCGAAATTTTTATTTGAAATTTAGCCACTAACCTTTTGGAGTCGACTCTTTGTCTGTTAGCAAAATATTTCCTGAACTGCTGGRTGCATTTTAATGAAATTCTCAGAAAATAGTCATTCAATAAACTTCTACAAATGATAAACTTTTGGAGCCAATTCATTTCAAGATGGCTGCCACAACCAACTAAGGTTAGAAAACATAAAAATGGGTATAAATCAGTAAAATTTTCCGATTTTGAGCTAAATTTTGGTGTGGTTGTAGCTGACAATTATACAAGAAAWACTTTTAAATACTACAAATATTAGAGAATCTTAGCTTAAAACTTTAGCGTTAGCTATTGAAGTTAACCGTGTTTGTCTGTTAGCAAAATATTGCATGAACCAGTGGACAGATTTTAACAAAACTTTCAGAAAATAATTATCAGATGTGTGTTTACAACTGATTGACTTTTTACGCCAGCCAGATTTAAGATGATTAACACAAAACACAGAATAAACACAAAACTATAAGTCTATAAACCAGTCAGTTTTACACATATAGATTTAAAATTTGGTGTGGTAGTAATAGCTTGTATTTTTTTCTTATTTTATTTTATTTTATTTTTTGTATTTCGTTTTTGTATTTATATGTCTGCAACAACAAATGGCTTTGTTTGTTTGCAGCTTCAAATGTGCTGAGAAAGGAAGACGAAAAAGAAATCCGTCTGGCAATCCTGACCTGCCTTTCTTAACATTCACATTTGCTTTCCTCTACAACCAGCTTTGTTCAGAGTATCGGAACGGTTCTCCCCATGTTCCTGGTCCTGGCCTTCATGGACTCCGTGTGCATGACCATCAAAAGCTTGGTGCTGGAGAAGGAGCTGCGGCTCAAGGAGGTGCTGCGAGCCGTTGGCATTCGAAACGGCGCCCTGTGGTCCGCCAGGTTCACAGAGAACATTGTTCTTCTCAGCATTCCCTGTGCGCTCATGAGTATCATGATTAAGGTCAGTGTGGTGGGTAAAAAAAAAAACAAAAATGTGGAAAATATCAAGATACAAAGCAGGTGATGGCGATAATTTTTAAGTCAAGTGGAGAAATATTAAAATGTCTAATAATTACGAATTTTATTAAGCCACTCAAATGTCATATCTTTTTGACAGAGCCCTATGAACTGGTTAAAAACAAACTAACAGTAAAACCTTATTACGTCCTATCTAATTGAGCCTAAACATGAATTTGACAAAACTTAAACCTCGGACTCTWCATGCTTTGTGTTGTGGTATTTTTTGCTGTTGTTGTTTTTTTTTAATCCAAACCCAATAATGAGCCCAGAATCAGATCTTTATCCGTAATTCTCCTCATCAAACTTCTCAGGCTAATTAATTAAGCATGCAACTAAAACGGCACTTGTATTTCTTTTTTGTTTCCTGTAATCGGCGGATGTTAGTTTTTAATTGCCTTTCTTTTGTGATTTCAGGGAAGGGG